GCCTACGCCTCCTCGATGACGATCGACTTTGCACCGACTCACTACGACGTAAATCCAAACGACTCAGACGCTGTTCGATTTGCTCAAGTCTTCGTAAAATCACAGCATTCTCAGAATAGGCTGGACAATCAGAGGCTGACGCTACAGCTATCTGTTGAAAATCACCCGCCTCGCAAATACGATCTGCTAATTTCGCCAGTTCTGCTAGTGCCACGTTCGATGCCTGCAGAATAGCGCGCACTTGTGGTGGCAAACGCTTCAGCCAAAGAGACTTAAGGAACTCATCGCTCACCTTGTCTTTAGCTAATGCTGTCAACTCCGTTAGCAACTGTGTTGGGCGTCTATCACCAAGTTCAACTTCTGACAACAACCGTTGAATCTTCCGCTGCTCGCTCTCACTGTACCGCTCTATGATGCAAGCCTTTAAATTAGCGTATCTTCCAGTTTCAGGAGGATGAAGCACTGCATCACTTACATCGGCGATAACACTTGACTCAATCGCTGCTACTACCGTGTTGAACTGTGTGATGTCACTCGTAATGGCAGCTACTGCGAATTGCGCCTCGATCTGAGCAAACCAAATCTCCGGTCGCTCGTGCCAAAACGGTGGCACCTTCACTGCTACACGGTTTACGACACTTCCACTATCAGAAGCCATTACTACACCTTCGTCTGCAACTGACATCACAGCTCGATAATTAGATATTTAGCTCAGAAGTTAATATTTCTAAATTTAAACTTTTTCGAAATCACGTCGGGGTCACCAATTTAGCAATGATCTGTTCACCTTGCTAATTAATAAAACTCTAAAAATTTTCAATGTTAATAAACTTTTATTCAACTTTTTACAGAGAGAAAAATCGGAACGTTCTCCTCAATCAAAACAAAAAACTTAAAAATATTTGAAATTGAATTTTACTTTTTAAATTCAATAAATGCACAGCCAACTGGGTCGCCACACGACTATAATAAATCACCAGAAAATCGGGGCCACTAAAGATGCAGAATACTCCGACCATAGTAAACTTTTTATGACAACAATTGACTCTTGCAGAAAAACTAGTTCCTCAAATTAGTTTTTAACGATAAAGAGGTTTTTCGAACACTCGTGAACTATAACAACAAAAATTGACAATACAGCTATTTCGAATATTACCAAATACCTATGATCAATGGTCTTGGGATTATATCTTGTATTAAATAATACAAGTAAATAATTTTGTTAAAACTGCTAGTGCCAAGTGTTGAACTTATGCGCTGCTAAATTTGAAACACTTAGTCAACGTTCATTAGCCAACTGACCCAAAGCCATACTTGAGTTGTATGTTTGCACTTTGGAGTTTTGTTAATTTAAAGTGAAAGTTCATTAACAAATTCACTTGCTGTGTTTTTATTAGAACGAAATCATAAACCAGCTGTAAAACAATTCTATTAATTAATTATATTTTTATTTTAAATTGCTAAATTTCAACACTATTCTGAGTATTATTTGTTGCGTAATTTATATATTCTTTCTTATAATACTGAGAAAGTCATGCTAATATTATTCCACGAGTCGCATGGGCGAGACCAATATTTTGTGAATACAAGTTATAATTTATTAACGATAGCATTATATTTTGACTAGCCACATGGATGAGTGATGATAATATTTCCTACTTCTATCGTTGCTTTTTAAGATAGTCTTTCAAAAGCTGTTTCTCTCTACGTTTTCGTACTATGTTCTTTTTTATATTAGATCCTCAAATTAGCTATTAACGATAGCATTATATTTTGACTAGCCACATGGATGAGTAATGATAATATTTCCAACTTCTATCGTTACTTTTTAAGATAGTCTTTCAAAAGCTGTTTCTCTCTACGCTTTCGTACTATGTTTATTGTCATATTCCTCATATTTTGAAAGTGTTATAAGAGTTTCATAATCTTCATAATAGACACACTAAAAAGTGACCTTGACATAAATTCCATAAAATAAATGAAAAAATCTATAACAAAAAACTTTATCTGAATAGCGAAAAGCACTTCATAAGCAAAAACCGAACACAAAAAGATTTCGACAAAGAAAACGTTTAACAGAAACCGCTTACAAAGAAGAAAAACATAAGCAAAGCACTTAGCAGCACCGAAAAGTAGTTAAACCTATCAAAAATCAAACGCACGCAATTTTACAAATTTTTCAAATCATCGTTAAGTTGCATTACAGCCTCACAAACTGGCGAACTCGCCAACTCACAAGCTCGGCTTGTAGGTCTAAGCGTCAAATACTTTATCTCACAGATACAAAAACTGAGTTTTGTCGCGCGACTACCGACGCTTATTTTTAATTATTGTTTTTGGGATGTTCTGCATATTATTTTCGGGTTTTCCTTCACTATTTAAAAGCTGACATTTTTTAATTTATTTCTGTAATTTATTTTAAATGCTTTGTTGACAGAAATACCTTTTGGCTTCAAAGCGATTTTTATTTATTATTTTCTCAGTTAAAATTGTTGACTGTAGATATTAAGTGCTTACGCTATGCATTACTTGGGCTGAGAGCGTCTATCTTTGCTGAAATGCCAATGAGTACGTGAATAAGATTTTATTTCATATGATAAATAAAAGTGACATAATATTTCTAAAGAACCAAAGAAGAGAAATCCTATCTTGCAATTTAGAATTTCAACACATATTTTTTTTAAAATAAATAAAAAATTATAATGATCCTCATTTGAAAACATTTGATGAGGAGTTGCAAAAATATGAAAGTTTCTTTTAAACCTAATAAGGGAAAACTTCAACATATTTGGTACTTATTCTTCATTCCAATTCTACCTAATAAAAAAAGAGTTTATGTATTTTATTTGTAAATACGAAACACAAGTCAAACTACCTTCACATCATCTACACAACTTCAATGTAGAAACGACCACTTTCCAAATATTTCCAGCTCTGAAAACAAGATAATTAAAAATATCCGCTTCTTATTTGACAGGCCCGAGTCCCAATGTTAGCACTTGCAGTTCAAACAAATCATATACGGACTATAAACTAGTTAAGAAATTCGAATATTTTCTAAGACCACTGATGATGAGTCCTTGGCAATATTCCAGACAGCGTTGTATGGTTAGCCAAATTTCAATAAATTAAATAAATTTTTGTCCTTGTCTTTTCTTTGCTATTCGAATCCGTCTAACTTTTGAATAGTTCTTTTCGTCATAAAGACGCGTCACTCTCGGCAAGAGACTAACATCAAAAAGAACTAAGTTTGAGTATAGGTTTTTAGATCTGCTACACAACCCCTTTTTTTAATTGTCTTTTGAAATCTTTTTACCAATTATGAGATCAATCAGTAATTTATTTTCAAGTTCAGAATTATCTTAAATCAATAATTTGCGTAAATTATTATATGTACCAATTTAATATCTATGTACCATATAATCCTTCAAAAAGCCATTAAGGATACTTAAATGTCAATCATTTATTCTTTATTATATCAACCTTTTCCATTAACTCTCTCTCCCTGATTAAAATATCTGATTTTTCCATTGACGTCTGCTGCAAGCGGGTTCTAATATCGTCAGTGATTAATGATTAATTCTGAATCATAATTGGATATTAAATATAACGAAGGCTTGCTAGCATTGATCGTTGACTAACAGTTATAATCAATATTATGCAAAAGTTAAGCCTTAGTGTCGGTAATAACGTGTTGGGTAGAATTTTCGAAATATATAAAATTCTGTTACAGATATTTTTTTATTTCGCAAATTCGTCAATTTTGGCGATATAAAATATACTTGAATTTTCTCGCTAAAAATTTGAGACGTATTAGCTATTACATTGAGTTTGTTTTGTCTATATTTATAACCAGTCAAGTGGCATTTACTTGAACTTCAATTTTCTTCAAGTAGTCCTGAATCTGAACGAAGCCCTAAAACAGCAGATACATGTCGTGTGCCCAATCTAGTAGGATAAGTTGCCTTGAATATGTGTTTTATGACAATCTTTTTCTTGAGAGGTCTTTGATTGCTTTGACTTCAAAGATAAGGTCAATCTTGGACATCATCTCAACCATCACAATAACATATGTCTTAATCGTAAGGGTTCTTATTTCTGTTATTATACATTATACAATAAGTTTCAATGAATATGTATTTTGTATACGTATATATATACATACGTATATTTTGAAAATTTTTATGTGTACATAATATTTTTCTAATTTCATTTTAAGATTTCTTAATAAAAATAATCATTTTTATTTTTCTTAGATGAGGAAAATAAGAAAATAAGTCTCGTCACAATAACATTATTCGTCTTTCTAAACTATTCTTCTTCAATCTTTCTCCTTATGACAGCATTACTGCTCTTCTATATATATATATAGGTATATATATATTGTTTCATCAATATATATATATCAAAATATCATTAATAGATTAGATACAGATATCGAACTTATCACTTTAAAAGTGTATTCTATTGCAAGATTACAGCAATAAGCACGTGCAACAAAATCTTCCACGGATCGGTATTAATTCACTATCATACATATTCATTGACCAACCTTCAAAGAGCTTAAAATACTGGAAACCAATCTTTAATTTGCTTACGTATCTAAGTATCTTTTAACTGTAAACCGCAATAAAAGCCACAACAGCACCACGTACGAGTATCAAATGATTTGACGCTTTCGTGAAGGCCATCAAAACCGAGGTAAAATGGCCAATGTTACTTGGTCAAGTGCAAAACGTTGGCTGCTGCACAAAACATAATCAAGCAAACTGCAATGTGAATCAAAAATGTTTATAACACGTATTTTTTTTATTTGGGTAATTTAAGCCGATTAAGTTTAGAAAATTGCTTAGTAATTAATATAAATTATTTCAAATGATTTTAAAATTTGTTTTAATTTAATTTAATCATTTTTTTTTTGTTTATTATCCTACAGTTAACTCAACTGATTTAAAAAAAATTTACCCACATTGGCGCCGCCTACGAATTTGAATCACACTATGGCTGTCATCACCGATACTGGCAGCAAAACCGAGGACCTAACACTTCAGCAACAAAATGCTAAAAATTTAGCGAACATTGTTACCATACCGGAATTTTATGCAAATAAAAATATTTTCGTTACTGGTGGCACTGGTTTCCTGGGCACAGTTCTATTGGAAGCACTACTCGACACACACCCCGATATTGGCACTATATACGTACTAGTCAGAGGCAAACGTAAATTTGATCCAAATGAGCGCATCAATCGTCTATTACAAAAACCGGTAAACTTATGCCTTTTTTATATTGTAATATTTTTATTTAAATAATCCTTTAAGATTTTTCTATAAGCGACTATATTTGTACCATATATACTTCTTATAATAAAATAATACGGTTTTTAAAGAAGAGATAGTGCTATATTGCAACCACCATAACATATTTGTGTATACTAGAAAATTATTTCTTGAATTTCTGAATCTGTTACGTCTGAATATAAGTTCTTAATTAAGTCTGTGTTCTAACTTCTTCTGGCTCGATGTCACTCTAATCATTTTAAAGGCATTTTTTTCTTCTTTATTCCATGCGCCAGATAGATTAATTAAAATAGAAACTTTCCTTTAATAAAATATGTGATTTTATTAAGTGTTAGAAATGATGTTAATCCAATAAATTTATTCCTAGTACCACATTAATATCTTTTTCTAATATTTATACTTTATACACCGACACAATGAGTTAATAAATCTGTTTGCGCACCAATATCTTTACCCAACACATACCTTTTATACAGCAATATGGATCCCTGCTATCACATTAAGATCCAATCGGTTATCAACTTTGCTTAAATGGAATATAAAAATAATTCGTAAGTGCTAGCTTATTGCTTTGAAATAACCAATTAAAAATATGGAACAAAAAAGTGCCAGCTACAAGCACTAAAAAAATAATAATAGAAAATTTTAACAAAAAAAGGTTTTGTACAAAATATCTCATTTATGGTCTTTATATGTTTAATTTTAAAAAATTTCAACTGGTATGATTTTTTCAATAGACCCGCTGCCTAATTTTATCCCAACAGTACAAAGGATGGTCTCCTGAAAATGGGGACAATTTTTATTCTGGTAATTTCTATGAAATCAGGTCAAACTCGAAGTGATCGAAAACTCTGTGGCTTTTTTCTGTTGTGTCACTTTTTAATTGCGCACTCCTCCACCTGAACCTCTTAATCGCATCTTTCCATACGGAATTCGAGGCCTAGTTTCACATACGCAATGACATGCCAAATTTTGGTGAATTGACTTAATAATTTTTCTTTCTTTTCTCAAGTCTGAGAAAAAACCGTAAACAAATTTGGATTGCTCCTCCACAAATCATTATAAAGACTCATTAAAGTCAATTACATAGGTTTTAATGTTATTTTACAGCGTGTAAATGTAGATTTTATTGTTGTTTCAATTGTGGCTGATTCGTTTTGCTGCCGATCTTTTATGAGATTTTTATTGTCTGTTGCTGCGGTTTTATGAGATGGTTTCGCTCTTATTATGTAATTAAAATTTCGGTTTGTTATTTTCATTTTTTTATTAAATCGCTTTATATGTTGTTAAGTTTCATGTGTGTCATTAGGTCCATAATTATTTACAGTGAAAATTTTACTACGATCGTTCATGATCATATTTTTATGCCACATTTTCTACACAACAAGTTTATGGATATCATGATTAAGTTTTGAAAGGATTTTTAAGTTAGTAAAGTAATGATAGTAGATAGTTTATAGTAGATAGTTTATGTACCTTAATTATTATTAATTCCTTCAGACTCACTGATAACAAGGACACAGTATCCGAATTGGTCATTAAAATTCAAAAATTTTTTTAGTAAATGAAAGCGAAAGAAATCTAATTAAACGAAATGACACATATTTAGTGAAATAGAATTTTTATAGTTATTGTAAATTTTTATTATTTATAACAATATTGTAATAACAAATATTTTAATTGTAAAATTGCAATTTCTACAATCCTGAAATCCTGCTCTACTCTTCCATTCCTTCCATTTCTTTCATTTCTCCTATTTTGTATTCCTAAGAGGTGGTTTTGTTTTAGTGAATCCAAGTCTCACACTAAAACAAGCGAATATATGTGTTTTCCATCTTCTAAAAAAAAATAATCTTGCAAAAATTCTTCTAAATAATTATATCCTATATATGTATATCGTCAAATTTCCATAACTCGAATAAGAATGTTATCACATGTCAATAGGAATATGGGAAAATGCATTCTATAAGTCGAATTTTTGTTTTAAGTATGAATCCATTTTGGTGTTACGGGAAGTCCCATTTTCCAAAACAAATGTTTTGTCGCTGGCAGCGTGATTTAAAGTAAATAAAATAACTACCAATGCTTCCATTATTATATTATGTTGAGCCTGACAATGAAATTTGTACATCAAGCTTTTCTACAGTTGACGATATTATTGAGCATTATCTCTGTGAATTAGTATATCCGATTCTAAGAGGAACGAAAAGTAATGATGAGGGTTCGGTGGTTGAAACAGTTCATAAGCCTTCCAAGAATGAAGTAGAAGACTCATTCAATATTCTAAATATTTATTTACAAACGAGGCATTAAATAAAATGCAATCTTTTTTTAATGAAAATAAAAAAAAAATAAAATCCCAACTCCATATTCTGAATGTTTCAATTCACTATAACTTTTGTACTATATTTGATATCAAATAAATGGATATATTAAAATGTAATTCTAGTTTCTTTCAAAAATAAAAAAAAATAAAAAAATTTTCTAACTCGAAGTCTCCATAAGTCGAACCTTTTTTTTGCAAAATGGTACTTCGAGCTATGGACGTTTGACTGTATTATATATTTATAAAAATCGCAAGTCTTGTTGCTCTGACATTTGTTTGTTTAATAAAATTTGTTAATATTAAAGTTAAATGTTGGCTCTCAAATTGATCTTATTATGTACTAAATTTTTTACTGACTTAGTAATGTCTATGAATAATGACAATGCGTACGTTGAACTTATCTGAATTACATAGTTAATAGTCAATTTATTCTTTTTTTAGAAAAAAAATTAATTCGTTTCCTTGGGTTAAAATTATAGATTTTCCAAAAGTACAATGAAAAGACTTTGGCTAAAGTGGTACCCGTGGTTGGCGAACTTAGCGAAGTGGACTTTGGCTTCAGTGATGAAATACTAAACGAACTCATTGATAAAGTCAACATTATTTTTCACAGTGCAGCCACCATAAAATTTAGTTCCCCTCTGCGCACAGCCATAAAAACAAACTTGACCGGAACCATGCGCACAATTGAATTAGCGAAAAAACTAAAGACACTATCGGCCTACATTTACTGTTCCACAGCATTCTGCAATAGCAACAATCGTGGCCTAATCATCGAGGAAGTCTACAAATCACAATTCGATCCTTATGAAATGATGAAAATGGCTGAAGATGATGCAGTTTGGGAGAACTTTACTGAAGAGAAATGCCGAGGCATCATACGCGATCATCCGAACACATATACGTTTACGAAGAATCTTTCTGAAAATTTAATGATGGCTGAGATGAGTGGTTTACCAGCCGCTATCGTAAGACCTTCAATCGGTGAGTATGACAATCTAAACAAGCATAACAGCTCTTGACCAAATCAGAAATACCATCCGTTATTTATGTGTTTGTATTGGTTTCTATGGTTCAATGGACTTTAAAGATTTGGCAAATATTGTTAAGAAAAATTATACATAAATAGCGAATTACATAAATTTGCAAAAAGTTTTTGAACCATAAATCAATAGATTTTAGCAACAAACTTCAATTTGCACAAACAGTAGACAACGAAATCGATAATAAATTCACTCGAAATGTTAATAAACTTTCACATCTACATAATTTTTTAATTAATTATTAATTTACTAATACCTAATAACTATCGTGTGATGTTACTTAATGAATTGTAGATAAATCGACACAGTGAAAAATAAACTCTAACCACATACAGGTTAAATTGACCTGATAATTTTGTTAGAAAGACTTTAGTTCATGTGTTAAACCTGATTTAGTTAAAATCAGGTTAATTCAACAAAATAAGTTTTCTGAATATATCATAAAAGAAAGTAGATATTTAACACATCAGAAAACATACAGACATAGTATCTATAAAAAATTAACAATTGCTTATAGTTCCCTTAATGGATAGTAGTGTAATAAGATGATCGAAAGTATGAAATTCTAATGAAACTTTACTTTGTGTCTTCAGATATTCATCACATATTTTTCTTTTTTAGTATATGGTACTTGGGAACATCCAATTAAGGGTTGGGTTGGTAATGCAAATTCTGGTCACTTGGGTTTCTTAGCTGGTTTTGTAAAGGGTATTTTCCGTACCATGTGTGGACGTGCCACCTCTGTCATTGATATCATTCCCTGCGACTATGTGATCAATTCATCATTAGTCATGGGCTGGTACGTGGGTACACGTCATCTCAACCAGCCCGAAGTTATACACTGTACATCAGGTGAAGTGAATCCACTGACCTTGTCCGAATTTTGCGACATTATGAATGCAAGTGTTGAGAGGCATCCACCAAACAACTTCGTATGGAAACCCGCGGCAAAGTTGCGAAATGGCTGGCGTTACAATCTCTTCTTCTACCTATTTCACATACTGCCCGCATTGGTGTTTATAATACCGGAAAAATTGTTTGGCATAGGAATGCCGCAACACACGTAAGTTTTGTACTGGCAAAATATTGTAATCAACAAGAAAAATAAACAAATAATTTTAACTTTTATTATTTTTAAATAATTTTAGCGCTTACGAGTACATGCGGGTTTTCCACAAAGGCACCAAAGCGTTTGATTATTTCTTGGACAAAGATTTTCGGTACTCATTGAAGAATGCTTTGCGAGTTATGTCAACCATGCATGAGAGTGATAAAGCACGTTACAATTTTGATTCTAGTCAATGCGACTGGTCCGAGTTCATAGATCGTTGCCTCATTGGCTTACGTCGTTATTATTTTAAAGAAGCCGCTGTAACCACCTCATGGCATCGCAACTACTGGAAAGTGTAAGTAAAATGTGATTTCTGTAGAGCACCACAATTATTCAAAACGAATTTTTCTTGCAGTTTCAACATTTTGTACTACTGCGGCTATGTAGTACTTCTGGCTGTAATTTTTGGCTTTTGTGCACCTTTCCTAGGTTTGAAAGTAGGTCTCGGTCTGGCACTTCTTATCTGGGCCTTCCTAATTTGGTTATAGAACTACCTCACCACACGACTTTTATTATGTCTGGTTAATATATTTAAGTCACTTTATGTACTTCTTACTATCATGTTAATTTTATTTTTATTTAATTTTATTAAAGTATTTACTCTTTTTGTTATGTGGAGAGAACCACATTACTCGGGCATAGTTTTAAGTAAAGTCAGCCTATATGTAAACCTATTCAGAATTTATGTATAATTGAAGTGTACTTTAAAACGAAAGCATATAAGTATTCTTATTAATATAATTACTTATATATACATAATACGTGTGCATAAAATAATTATTGAACAAATATTTGCTATTATAGTGCTTATAAAAACAACATTTTAAATAATGTGAGTGCGCTCTTCCCAGGGTTTTAGTAATACATCTAATTTCTAAGTTTAATTATTTGCGGTACTATTTTTCATAAAATTAACTTTAAAAAAAATATTCTTATGTTAAAAACATTTAAAAAAATAAAAAATTTTTTAGTTTTTAATAATCAGTTTTTTCCTTTGTGTATTTCATATTCGACTTACCTACATTAAATATCAGGTTCCATACAAAGGCAACTCAGTTCGGGGACTTAAGTATGACATTGAAAATTTTAAATTTCACACCTAAAACATTTGAAAAATATAAATTCAATTCCTTTATTATTCTTTATTATCCAGTTCCTAAATCCTTTATTATTCCTTGTTCCGATTATTGAAAGACACAATGGTACATCGCTACATAAGACACCATTCTTATAATATTCATACCTCATTCTGGTCGAAGAAAATGTACCGAAAATGCGAATTGACAATTGCAGGACACGATCAAAAGTATGAGCATATATAGCAATTCACTCTCCATCTCCATCGAGATTCCCTTGTTAAGAAACCAATAATAAATATAATTTCAAATCTACTGAGACATACTTCTGTCCGATGTTTAATTATTGTTAAAGAAGATCCAACATTAAATGTGATATACAATTTAGTATTTAACAGTTTAGTAGTATTTAGTATTTATGAATCATTTTTTATCATTTCGTTAATAAGAATCAGTATCATTTTTATACATCTCTAAATATCACTATATAAAGCTATTAAGCGTGATTTTTAAAACATACTCATTGTTATCATATAACAAAATATAGAAACTACACGACATATATCAACGGCCCAATGTTCTTACGACCCAATGTTCCCCTGGGAACGGAATGCAATGAAGAAGAAGAAGATGATGACAAAGTTCAAGCAACAACAACAACCGAGGGTATTTCACATTAAGAGCTCACGCATAATGTATAAGCTTCAACACCCAAGTTTACATAAAATAGTGGCAAAAATACATAAAAAATGTCCAAGCACCAAAAGAATAATTAAAATAATGAGAAAATAATACTTCAAACAAAAATATTCTTTCTTCTTCATTTCTTCTTTTTTTTGTCTCTTTAATTATGTTTTCGTTGTTTTATCATAAATAATTCAAAATCTATATGCAGTTGTGTCGTGCACAGGCGCTGTGTAAACGTAGAATTATCACATAATTATTATGGCACTATATGGCAATACTGATTGACGACAGGATAAAATTACAAGTAACATCTAATAAGAATTTTCCAGGATTCTCTTCGTTAAGTCTTCGTTAAGTTTAACAGAGTAGAGTAGCGGAGAATTTAAATTGAAAAGTAGCAAAACTAAGCAGCGTTAAAATTTTTCAAATCACATATTTTTCATATAAAAATTCTCATATATTAAGAAAGCATCATATTTTTCTAAATAAAAATATTCACTTGTATATAACAGAGTGGCAACGAACCTATTACTTTTATACTTTTTCGCTTGCAATAAATATAGTCCGCAATTTAAATATGCATTTATATAAATAATATATCAGCCCCGAAAGTTAGGCAAACAAATTTTAATTTAAAAATTTCAAATCCTCATTTATACAAACAGATTTTTTCAAACTTTCAACTATAACAATTATATATATAATAAAATTTTAATTAAATACCTATATACTCAGTTTATTAATTTATATAAAGCAAATATTAATTGGGTATTAGTAAATAAAAAATGCTTGCTTTTATACTGTAAACCAATTACTTGATGGTGCCCTTAAAATTTTGTTAAAAGATTTCAATTAATTTTCGCTCTATATCATCTACTCATATATTATTTAAGTTGAAAATGATAATATTGAAAAAATTCAATACTGCATATAATTTTTTAATATTTCTCAATTATTAATAACATTGAATGGTCACATTATGACAATATATAACTATTTTAGTGTACAACAATGTCTTTCAAACTGTCATACGACAGCTAATGCCTACAAAATGCTTGACAATTGACTCACATACCACTGTTCTCGCTGTTTGTATTTACTTCAGATCATTTGTGCACAATTAAAAGATAAAAAATTTTATCTGAAACGTAAAATAAACTTTCAAATATAATGACAATAATGATAATCATTATATATATAAAAAATATACTTTTTGTTAAAGCAGTAAATAGAATGAACACTGAAAATGCAAGCAATTTCACAGAAACACTTATTGTTTACGTTTGACGCATTTCAATGTTTTATGACGTCACCTCACGGTCTCATGCATTTCAAAATATCATAACATTATTAACAACTTTAATATACATATTCAATTTTCATACAATTTGGTACTTATGCAAATTTAATTTATTTATTTCTATACACATATATTTATATACATACATATGTATATAATATGTGATCTACCAGTAACGCTGATAATCACAAAACTTAACTCCTTTCACTTTGCTTCTCGTATTATATGAATATGAATTCGCTTACATACATACCATATGTCAATAATAACAAATTATTTACAAATACAGCTAAATTTATGCATAATTTAATATTAGATAAAAGTGCAAAGATCAACAAAAAATGAAGATGAGCCAATGAATCGTTCAGTGCCATGTTCAATTTCTCATGAACCTTTTAGCTTCAATAATCATTTTTATATGCCAAAAACTGCATTTGAGAAATAGAATAAATAAAAGCAAAAACTAAATAAATATATGTATGTATATGTTTGTATATATAATAATCTCCCACACATAAAATAACAGCAACAATAAATAATCATAGAATTATATGAACAATATCTAAGTAAGTTACTATTAAAAACTGACAGAGAACTGAGAATAGTAAAATACTCTCTAAAGGCTCCTCAGATCATTATTATTTATGATTACCAAAGTCCATTTCTCTGCGTCAAATAACAGGGCTTCAACAAGTCATAGTTAGATATTCCATTTAGCTATGTCTCATGTAAAATGCTTAAATGCAAAATTATTTATATATATAATTTCAAATAGTTGTATATATATAACATATATATTGTTATTTCGTGTAATTTTATCGAACCAGATTTTTTTGCCGCCACCCTCCTCTAACACTAGCTTCATTTCATTTATCAATTATCCGCAATCCAGCATGATATATTAATAGCTTTGTGCACATCATGCTATTCTCGATTATTGGTTTCTATGAATGTTTTATTTAAGATAAAGCAAACGATATACTTTAACAGTCAAAGATATAAGATAGTCGATATTTTAATTGCCTTTTGATATATTCTTTAATGCTATTAGCATCATTGGTAAAATTATAATAAATTCAATTTAAAAACAAATGTCAAAAATTGTTACTTCTTTATGAGCTCAATTATTATAAAAAGTTATTTAAATTTCTGTAAGTGATATTACACGTCCCTTGTCAAGAACTAATAGTTTGCTAAGACGATCGTATTTAACTCATCTTTGGGTTTGTTTACAAAATCCATACAAAATCTTACTATCTACTTACTATTTAAGTTTGCCGTTTTAGTAAACGCTACTCAAAAATTTTCCAATGTTGCAATTATGGATGAAAGTTTTGACAAACGCAAAGAATAAATGAAGCTGAAATTAAAAATTAATTTTAAATAAAACCCAAATTGTAAACCTATTTTTGTAGCCATACTTTCAAATGGATTTTGTACGGATTTTGTATAAAAAAGTAGATATAGTTAAGCACTATAGTGTAAACATAGCATTCTAATAAGGAAACTGTGCTCTTACGTTATATATTATCTATGTTACTCGCATCTAAATTACGTTATAAACAGGTAATTGCTTTAAATTTGTACATACTTTAATTTACACAATAGGAAGAAAATAAGTTAATGTGTCAGTCAATCTCGTTGACCATCTAATTGATGCTATGCGTCCAATATAATTGGTATATGAAAATATTTAATGTTTTAATATATAAATATATTAACTTTAATTGAACATAAAAGAAATTATTTAAATTAATATTATCTAAATAAAATTACAGCAAATTGAATTACAAATACAACGGTTTTAAATACTTCTGGAATTAAATATATTTAAGTCTAGAAGTATTTAAATATTAAAAAAAAAATATAACAAATATAAATTAAATAAAATTTTTTAAATAAATAAATGCTATTATCGCAATTAACTCCTTAATAGTATAACAATTATCTCATTTAAAAATTTAAAATTTTCGAAATTAATAAAAACAAAACAATTACTCAACTTAAACGCCCTGTATATTATGTAAACACATGCTGTATATATATATACATAAGAAAAGATAAATATTTTCACATCAGAAACTACATTTATGCGTATCTCGCAAACGAAGTCTGATCATTTACGTGCATATCAACTTCAGTTCGTATTTTAACGCCAAACGAGTCGGTTGTGTGCTCGGTTAAGAACGTAAATGCGATAAAATAATTTCGATCAAATTTACTTGAGTGTGTGTAGGTTGCAAATATTGCTTTAAATGAATTTAAAAAAAAATAACTAAGCAACAACGCAAGTCAGAAAAGCTATTGACTCTTTTAAAAAAATTTGTGCCGGTTACAAATACTGCTAACAAAATAGGCAAAAAGTGTAATAAAAAAAGAATAGAGAAATTTAAAAAATAGTTTTTATTCGTGTTAGAAAATTAAAATAAATTTTTTTTTTTGTATTTAATACAGAAACAAGTTTCAACTTTTAACAAAAAATGGCAGAGTAAGTTTTGTTCATTAGCCTTTGCGTAGCACATGTCTCATTAATTATTAAAAATTACTAAAATATCTAATGTAAATAAAAAAAATTTTACGATGAATTTTATTGTTTATGGAAGAGTATTCATTTAGAGATGCAATTAATGCAGCGTAAGCTGTGTAGGGTTGCCAAATGTTTTTTATTATTATGAAATTGGTTTTTAAAACTGTAGGGACATTCCTTCTTAGATCATTACATATTTATAATTAATATTATATATTAATTATATATTAATTGAATAATGTATAAAATTATTCATGCTCAAATAATATTATGTATGTATGTTGATCCTTTTTTCGAGTCAGCGCAACTGGGCACTTTTACTTTTTGATAACTGGGGGTACTACAGGGTTCCACCCATCTCATTGACTAATTTATGTATTTCTTATAAGCTTCATGATTATTCAGTGATTGATCTAAGATCTGCGTACCTTCCCGTGTGGAGAGTGATTACTCTAAGATGAGATAGTGCTAAGTAGGATAGTCTGTCAGTTTTCGCATATAACTTCAGGCTATAGATCAGTTTTCTGTTCTTCGTGCTAAGTTTGTTGTGTTTGAAAAGTGGTTGTAAGTATTGTTTATAATATAAAATTTGTTCATCTGTAAAAATACTGAAATTGCTTCATTGTTAATAAATGGAAATGATCATGCATCAGGATAAAACGGATTATTCATACCTTTTTACAATATTAAAATATATGCAGTGAAACAAGCTACTGTTTCAGCGTTTATTTAGAGTACTATTGAATCAAAAACCTTGGCTGAAAGTCGTATAAATCTCGGACATAACACTACAATTCATTATCATAATATGAAAACCACAGGCCACGCCACCTGCAATTAACACCTACACAAAATAGGTATATCCGGCACAAATATTTGCAAATTCTTGTGTCTATGGAAGATCTGATCACCAACTGTAATGCACTAGGCCACAGAAGCAACAAAATATTAGGTGCATACCAAGTAAAGTATGAAGATCTCCAAAAACTCCGTCCAAAGGAGCTGGTTCGATTTCTCGAGATACTAAATGTCTAAATACAAAGGGGTGTACAATAGATCAAGCTGGTCGCAGTGTCGAAAGGCCTTAGCCTAACCCGTATACCATTACAATACAATATGAATACAATATATAGGAATGTAAAGTGAAATTGTAGAGCCGATATGCTTACACATATTCTTTCAAATAATTAATCAGTAAAAATGCGTCTTATATTGTAAAAATATCTGATTAAACGAAAAATAAGTATCATAGCGACTCAATGGTTAAAAATTGCAGATTCGTGTAGTGTCCCAAGCCATACATGTGTCAACTACGATGAAGTCGAGTTAAAAACAATGTATTAGTAATATATACTATGTACTATGATCCAAGTACAGTGGTATTCTGAGAAAATTGTGACAGGGACCATTTGCAGAGTGTGTAATGAAAATATTGACGCAACACTGTAATGGTGTGTCCATATATGCCAAACCAATGTATGACAACTTAGGTAAACTATTTCAGTTCGCACTTCCATAAATGAGAAACTCGTAAGCAAAAACATATGTTACGTGTCTTATAAATATATTATTATATGTATGTACATAGTTATACATGTGTGTACATTTGTTATATATATTAAAACACAACTTGGATTCATGCTAGTTGCAGTTACAAACCATCTGTTTTGCTTGCTATTTATAAGCAGTGAAGTTTTCAGTTTTTATTTAAATTAAGTAGATTTCACCTTTAATCTTTAAATTACGACTGTAAACAATTAAATTTGAGACAAATAGTTTCAATAAAACTTTTCCAGAAATAATAATTAAATTATTGAAACGAATCGTTTAAGCCGGTTTGTAATGGGCTCGTACCCAACTACATCACTGTGTGATTATTTATGATATTGACGAATCTAAAACAGATAATCTTCTTTTCTTATCATACGCGCTTCTCAAAGCGTTGAGGACACACATAAATATATTCTCAATTGCCCAACAAGTTAGTCGTATTCATCTGTCTGTTTCGAAGCCACTATTTTGCCACTAGGCCTGCCCATAATTTAAACGAAGGTTTTCAAAACTTGAACTTATAAAGAACTGTCCATTGTCATAGGCTATTTAAGATTTTAGATACCTTCTCCACATTACGATATTAGAGATTGTAAGTTATGTTATATAGTACTATTACCAACTGTATCAAGTGGCAAACATTTGTAATTACCCAACTCTCGTTTATTTATTTATCGTTTATTAAGTCGATGAATATAAAAGTAGACGATATTTATTTTTCTTTTTTTTAAATGATCCGTACCAAATTATTTAAAATAATAATTTTTTAATGTATTTATACTTTTCAGGTGGCAAAAATTTAAATGTAACTCGTTTATAGGCTGAAGTTTGAATGACTTTACCAATGACATCTAACGATTAGAAGTCTTACTAGTTTTTCAAATTAAATGCTATTGAATTCTTAATTGCAGCGTTTTATTTTTTAAACATTTACTTGCTAGTCATTATTATATGAAAATGCATATTTTTAAGTTGGCAACTTGCTTTGGTATTGACTTTAATTGAAGACTAATATTTTAATTAATAGTTTCTTATTTACAACCGCTAATACTTGCAAATTTTTTTGCATAAAAACCTATAAGTGATTATGACTTAATCAAAAAACCGAATAAGTCTGAAAATATTCAAAGTCATTTAGATAATTATTTTTTGAAGGTTAACTCTAACCTGATGCTGGTGCTTCAGTGGTGTATAAGTTTATTACATGTATTTTTTTCCACGCGTCTATAAAAGATGGAACTCTCATAGATACAATATGATATACATGTTGGCAACATATTTACAGAAAGGGGGGGACCAATGAATTCAAGAAACATAAGGGCCCAATTAAAAAATATTTGAAACTTCAGTCAAACATGTATCAGCAATTTAAATCCAATCCAAAATTATGGAATAATCAGAAACACTACTGTAATCCAGGTAAAAGTACAATCTTTTATAAATCAATATTTATATCATATCCTATAGATTTATAGATTTATTTTAGTTCTAAGATTACATTAAGCTAAGCTAACAAAATCAATTTGGTACTAAAAAAGTTATATCTTTAACATACTTTCAGTTTGTACTTTACTTATGTTTTACTAGAGTTTTACTAGGAATAGCTCGTGGAACAGACCTATAGTAAAAATCTATATAATGCGATTTTAAGAAATACCATTGTCCGAATCATTTCTTAGTCACATAACTGACCTTTTTTTGGTTAAACATTTGCTTCTCACCAGAGTCTCGTACGTCTGCACTACGTCTAGGTATATCTTAGAAATAAGTTCAGAAATTGGTAAAATAAGCTCAGAAATACATTGGTAAAAATTATGTTAAAATAATTGTATGTGCCTATTATTATATACATATTATTCTCCATTATAAAAATGATTGTTAATAAATGCAAGTTCTCACTTATAAATTTAGAATTAATAAATACAGTCGAAGCAACAGAATTTCAGATTTTTACCATTAACTACATACTGGCATAATTTTAAATTATCAATAAACAACTTTATAAAAAAAATTAATATAAATCACAGATTTAAATAATATCTTATCTAAAATTTTTAGTCTTGATTATAAATTAATTGTGCCGTAATCACTGATAGGGTTTAAATCGTATATAAATGTGGATAAGAATACTCTATTCACAGTACAATTGTAACGCGTCATAAAATGCTAAGTTAGTTTTCTCAAAATCATTTAAAAAAGAAATAATAAAAATAAAATCTTATCAATACATTATTATGTTGAGGCTAGATGAGTCAGTGCGCTTGAGCACTTTTACTCTCTATTAACTGCGAGGTTTCTTTATAACCCCTTTCTACGCCTTGACTGAATTATAGTTTATCACTTCATCAGACTAAGCCATAATTAACCTCAGATCTGCATACCTCCCCGAGAGCCTGTAACCATTCTGAGAATCGATAACGCGCTGTTGGTAAGCCTGCCAGTTTTCGTAAAAATTTCAGGGCTCTATCGTTTGTGTATTTTTGATGAGAATTTGCGATGTCTTTTCAGTCTTAACTTATAATTTAAAAAACTTCAGAAATTTAAATGTCTTTAATTGTGAATAACAATTATGAAAGGTTTTCTACTACTAATATAATTTATGAAACTATTGTGTTGTTTTCTAGTGCTGTTAGCTGACACTTCTCTTTTATTTAATTTATTTTTTTTTCATATTTCTTTCTTTTAATGCAGTCACCAGTAATATAGGTAGCCACTGTAACTGCTTTTTCCCTTTATTTATTTATAGTGCTGTTAATTGGCATTTTGATTGCTGTTTAATTAAGTGCACAATATATAATTTATTTGAGTTAAATTTAGCGCTTATTAATGAAACCGCTAAGTAAAAACTTATATGTATTAGATACATAGGTTTAATATTTTTAATGGATTATAATATGTATATATGTTTGATTAAAATGAGAATATTTACTGTATAATTGATATGAAATTAAAATTAACTCAACGTTAAGAGTATATCCAAAACCTCCAGCAGCTATAGCAAACAAAAGCAATTTGTTATTAACGATAAAAATAAGATAAACAAACAATTAATTATTTAATTTAATTTAATTTATAATTTCATTTGGTGTCATTTAGTTTTAGTGTCATTTCTTAATACTTTTATTCCTTCTCTAATCAACGGAATTTTGGTTGTCATACTAAAAAGTAAAGGAATTTGTATTTATTTTTTACTTTTGGATTGATGTTACTTTTTAATATTAAATAAAATTTTGATTATTCAGGCTCTCTGATGCTGTTTGATTTTATTTTGTTTATCAAAAACTTGTTCTAATACAAGCGATCAAGTTCGTCGATTTACCAAAGCCGGAAGATGATCATACCAGAGAGAGAGAGAGGTTGAGAGAAAATAAAGAGTAACAATCAAACATGTGTACGGGCACTGACCCCTA